TGTTTTTATCTTTCTGTAATTTTTTTTTCTAAAAATTGGCCTAATAGAACACAGCTAGATTCCCATGTTCATCTTTACTCCATCTGTTGCAATTGCATATATCATGTAGCCTCTAGAAAATTTCTCTGAACACTCATGAGAAGCTGAGAGTGAAAAAAGTGAATAGCATCTTAGGGTTACTATGAAAATTGTTTTGACCTCACAAACTCACTGAAAAGTTTTGAGAGTCCCCAGATCACACTTTGAGAACCACCAACTCAGAACAATATTTGGTGCTAATTAGGTACAGATAAATAAAACCCATAATTACTTATGTATAAGTACATACATCAGGGAGAAATAATAACATACCTCTGCTTTAGCCTTACCTATATTCATATAGTTTGTTTTTCTGCATTACGAACTGTTAGTTCTGCTGACAATTTTTTTCTTAAAAGATGTATAGGTAGATATAAACCTTTGGCCAAAATATGGTCTCATTCTGTCAATCTGCATGAAAAATAACCACAAATTTTGACTCGTGCAATTTTAAACCTCATTTTAGAATGCCCTTTTTTAAAAAAATAAATTTCCTGTTTTGAAAAATTATAGATTTAGAAGAAGTTGCAAAAATATGTACAGAGAAGTCCTGGGTATACTTTAGTCAGTTTCTCCCGAAGATAATACTGTGACTAGTTGTAGTACGATGTGAAAACCAGGAAATTGACATTGGTACAACCCACAGAGCTTAGTCAGATTTCACTTGTATTGTGTGTGTGTGTGTGTGTGTGTGTGCGCGCGCTCGTGTGTGTGAATGTGTGTGTAGTTCATGCAATTTTATCCCGTGTGTACATTAGTATGACAACTATGACAATCGAGATCCAGAACTGTTCCATCACCACGTGGCTCCCTTTATAGCCAGTCTTATCCCCCCTCAGCTCCCTCCCCGACACTAACTCCTTAAAACTGCTAATTTATTCAGCATCTCTCTAATTTTATTATATTATATAGAGTGTTATATAAATGGAATCATACAGCATGCAACCTTCACTCAACACAAGACTCTTGAGCTCCATCTGCCTTGCATGGATATCAATAATGTATTCCTTTATGTCGCTATATACTATTAGCTCATGTGGATATACCATTGCTTGTATAACTATTTATCTACTGAAAGTGTTTGGACTGTTTCTAGTTTTTGTCTCTTATAAATAAAGCTTCTCTGAACCTCTCTGTATATAAGTTTTGTATGAACATAGTTTTCGTTTCTTTGAGATAAATGCCTGAGTACAACTGTTGGGTTATATGGTCGGTTTTATAAGAAACTCCCAAATGGAGCACCAGGGTGGCTCAGTTGGTTAAGCATCTGCCTTTGGCTCAGGTCATGATCCCAAGGTTCCGGTATCAAGCTCCACATCAGGCTTTCTATCCAGTGGGGAGTCCGCTTCTCTGCCCCTCCCCTGGCTGATGCTTTCTCTTTCTCTCTCTTGTGTGCCCACTCTCTCTCTCTCTCTCAAATAAATAAAATCCTTAAAAAAAAAAAAAAAGAAAGAAGCTCTCAAATGAGTTTTCGTTTTGTTTTTCCCCAGCAATGTTTGAATTATCCTATTTCTCTGCATCCATACCAGTGTTTGGTATTATCATTATGTTTTGTTTTAGCTATTCTGATGGGTATATACTATTTTGCTGTAGTTTTAATTTGCATGTTACTAAAGGTTGATGATGTTAAATGCTTTCCATGTATGTATTTGTCATCTGTATATTCTTTCTGCTGCAAAACCTATTTTCTTCTTCTCTCTTTTAAAAATATTTTATTTATTTATTTGAGCGGGGAGGGGCAGGAGAGAGGGAGAGAGAGTATTTTAAGCAGATTCCCTGCTGAACGCAGAGACTGACTTAGGGATCAATCTCACGACCCTGAGGCCATGACCTGAGCAGAAACCAAAAGCCAGTCACCTAAAAGACTGAGCCACCCAAGTGCCCCTGCAATAGCCATTTTCTAATTATATTTTTTTCTTTGGAATTTTGAGAGCTTATTGTCTATTCTAATACTAACACTTTGTTGGATATGTGGCTTGCAAATATTTTCTTCAAGTCTCTACCTTGTATTTTTATCTTCTTGACAAAGCATTAACCCACAATTTAGATGAGGTCCAATTTATTAATTTTTCTTTTATGTGTCATGTTCTGTTGTTAATCCTAAAAACTCTTAACCTAGTCCTTGGTCCCCCCAATTTTTTTCTAAAAATTTTATAGTTTCTCATTTTAGGTTAGTCTATAATTCATTTTCAATGATTTTCATGCAAGGTATGAAATTTGTATCTAATTTTTGTTTGTTTGCCTATGGATGTCCAAGTGTACTGGCAGCCATTGTTGAAAAGGTTGAATTCCTGTTAAATTGTTTTGGCATCTTTGTCAAAAGCCAGCTGGCCATATTTGTGTAGGTCTATTTCTGGGTTCTCTATTTTGTTCTTCTGGTCTATGTATCTATCCCTCTGCCAATATCACTCAGCTTTGATTACTGTTGCTGTATAGTAAGTCCTAACACTAGGAACAGCGATTCCTCCCACTTTCTTTCTTAAATTGTTTTAGCTATTCTAGATCATTTGCCTTTCAATAATAATCTTGTCTCTGTCTACAAAAGCTGTTCTGGGGTTTGGATAGGCATTTCATTCAATAAAAAAGATCAATTTGGAAACAACTGACACCTTTACCATGTTGAGTCTTCCAGTTCCTGATATGTCTCTCCATTTATTTAGGTTTTCTTTAATTTATTTCATTAGTTTTTTTTTTTTTGGAATTTTCAGCAAAGGAGTCCTGTATATATGTTGGTAGATTAAGTATTTTATTTTCTTTGGAGCAATTGTAAATGGTATTGTGTTTTAAATTTGTTTTCACATTATTGTTTTTAGTATGAGGAAATGCAGTTCATTTTTGTGTGTTGATCTTACAACATGCCATCTTGTTGAGCTCACTAATTAGTTCCAGAACCTTTGCTGTAGGTTCCTTTTTTTTTTTTTTAAACATAGGTGATCGTGTCATCTATATATATAATTTTATTTCATCCCTTTTATTTTGTGTGTCTTTAATTTCTTTGTCTTGCCATTTTACACTGGCTAGAACTTCCAGGACTATACCAAATAACAGGTAAGAGTGATATCCTTGCCATGTTGATGATCTTGGGGGGAAAACATTCATTTTTTTACCATTAAGTATGATGTCAGCTGCAGGTTTTTTGTAAATGCTCTTTATCAAGTTGAGAAAACTTTTGACTCTTGTTTGTGGAAAGTTTTTATTATGAAAGAGTATTAAATGCTGTCAACTGATATAACAAATCATTTTTTTTCTTCTTTATCTTACTGATATGGTAGATTACATTAAATGATATTCAAATACTGAACCGACCTTGCATATGTGAATTATTCCCAGTAGATCATATATAAATCTTCTTATACATTGCTGAGTTTGATCTGCTATTATTTTGTTTAAGATTTTTGCATCTAATTTCATGAGGTATACCGGTCTTTCATTTTCTTTCTTGTGTTCTTTCTTTCTTTCTTGTGTTTTTTCTTTCTTTCATACTGAATTGGTCTAGTTTTTGTGTCAGGGTAATTGTGGCTTCACAAAATGAGTTGGAAACTATTCCTCCTCCTCTATTTTCTAAAAGAGTTTCTGTAAAGTTGGTGCTAATTCTCCTTTAAATGTTCTGAATTATCTTTTTATTGGTAATTGATGCTCTGTTCATCTTATCTCCCATGGTTTGAACATGAGTAATCCATAACACTTTCACTTAAAAAATAGGAATAAAACTTACCCATTTTATCTTATATGAGGTTTTTGTAGGAAATGTAGGGATACAATCCAATTCCCTGTTTGCCCATTCTCAGGTGCGGCGAGGTCAATGCTGGCTATGGTCAATCATTCAGCTGACAATGGCTAGCCTGATCTTATGCCCTCAAAATGCTTAGGTAAAGCTGTATCTACGGGTATAAATAAGTCAAGAAATGCATTTAGGAAAACTCTGATAAACATTCTCTGCTGTCTGCTCTTGCCACATTGCTGGGTTAGCATTTACTGTTGCACGCTGATAATGAATCTTAGAGCTCACTACTAAAAGCGGGAAAGAGAGACACCTGAGTGGCTCAATTGGTCAAGCAACTGCTTTCAGCTCAGGTAATGATCCTAGAGACCCTGGATTGAGTCCCACATCCAGTCCCACATCAGGCTCCGGGCTCAGCAGAGAATCTGCTTCTCCCTCTGACCCCTCCCCTCTCATGCTCTCTCTCTCAAATAAATAAAATAAATCTTAATAAAAAAAAGCAGAAAAGACATTATCCTTTCCTTCTCCCTTTTTTAAAAATATTTTATTTATTTATTTGACAGACAGAGATCACAAGTAGGCAGAGAGGCAGGCAGAAAGAGAGAAGGAAGCAGGCTCCCTGCTGAGCAGAGATCCTGATGTGGGGCTCGATCCCAGGACCCTGGGATCATGACCTGAGCCGAAGGGAGAGGCTTTAACCCACTGAGCCACCCACTGAGCCACCCAGGCACCACATTATCCTTTCCTTCTGTTCTCCCACCTGGGAGTGTAGGAATGGGAAGGATGAACTCGAATGCTTATACATTTTATATATCACATATAAGCTTATCTATTTTATATGAGCTTATCTCTCTCTTTCGCCTTCTCTGTCTTCTAAGACATTATCTAGTTTAAGTTTCATGTCTTAACAATTAAGGACACTGAGGCTTAGCAGAATGATGTATTTAAAAAGAGAATTTTTTATTTGCATCAAGTCCAATTCTATTGACTTATATGTGAAATGGAAAGATTCGATTTCCTAGCTCTTTCCTAAGGAAAAATTGTTTTCTTATTTACATGGCTCCAGAGTGTGTTTGGAGCTATAAGCTGAGGGGTCAAGACACTGATGAGTATTAGTAGTAGTACTGTTAAAACTACTAGTTGTTTTTATGACTGGTAAGCCAATTTTAGAGTAACTTTGTTTTCTTTTTCTGTTTTGCAGGAGAGCCATGGATTACTACAGAAAATACGCAGCTGTCATTCTGGCCACATTGTCTGTGTTTCTGCATATTCTCCATTCCTTTCCTGAAGGAGAGTTTACAATGCAAGGTATGTGGCTGAACGGATTTGCAGTAATAAGAAAAACACACATTTCTAGATGTACATCAATAACTCCATTAATTACATTTCCACTTCCTTTTCAAATGTGATAAATCTCTGCTGCTGGGTACATATCCAGACACTTTTCGACTCTATACATAAAGTTAAGTTAGGTTCAGATAATGTATAGTGAGAATTTATCGAACATGTCCATTTAAATAGCAGCATATACATTTTCATCTGAAATAGATTCCTTATTATTCTTTATCGGAGTTTTATAAGTAGAAAATGCTCCTTATTTAATCAGCTCAATTTTTTTTTTACATTTTTCCCAGAAGCTTTGAGAAGATTTTAACATTTCCTCTGTAGACGAATTTTCACATCAGTTAACAAATGAGAAAAACAACACCATTTTATGCAGTACATTTGCTTTGCTCTATTGTTTGAAAAATCTCTAGAGTAGCTGATATAATTCCGTATGTGATGAAATTGTGAGCTACTCTTGGTTATGGTTTTTCTTAGACAATTGGTAATATTTTAATCCCAGTTCTCTGGTGTGGATGCTCCCTGTCTGATATCAGGGCTCTCCATTCACCAAGTTTTCTTAATTCTGACATATTTTTCTCTGTCAATATTTGGAGTTTCCATGGGGGAAAAAAACAATAGCATGTTCTAAAGGGGAAACTGTTTTGCTTCTGGGCAAAATTCTCCTTTCAGATGAGCATGGTGTTTTCATCTGTCAAGTTTTGTGCTTCCTATAGGCATGCTATTAACACGGATAGAAAATCCATGGTTGAAGACACAGAAACAACTCCTCTTTTTTTTTTTTTTTAATGTTTATGTGAGAAACGAAGACTCTGGAGATCTCTCATGCATATCTGCAAAAATTATTTCCCATGAAAATAAATACAATCAGTACAAATAGATACTATGCATGAAAGTTAACAGCCAAAAAATGTTTATTATTTTCCTTCTATTTCCAATGGAAAAAGAATATTTATCATCTCATAATCGGGGAAAATTCAGGTTCTTTTTTTAAATTTTATTTTTCAATTAAAAAAAAAATAAGCTCTATGCCCAGGGTGGGGCTTGAACTTACAATCCTGAGATCAAGAGTCACATGTTCCACCACTTGAGCCATTTCTTTTTGAGTCATTCTTGGATTATTTTACTCTTTGCCTTTTTTGGTGGTAGGTTGCCCAGAATGCAAGCTAAAGGAAAACAAATACTTCTCCAAGTTGGGTGCCCCAATTTTTCAGTGCATGGGCTGCTGCTTCTCCAGAGCATATCCCACTCCAGCAAGGTCCAAGAAGACGATGTTGGTCCCAAAGAACATCACTTCAGAAGCCACATGCTGTGTGGCCAAAGCATTTACCAAGGTGAGAACTTAGAGGGCCCCAGAAGTTTTCTAACAGTGCAACCTGAGAAATGTCCCCAGAACACATCCATGGGGTTTCATGTCAGAAGTGTCTAATGACCCATCCTTTGCTTCACATTGGTACACGGATTCATCCCTTTACATCAAAAATAACCTGTGGGGACAAGCTGGACTTATTCAGAATGCAAGGAACAGCTGTGGAAGTGATGAGGGGTGGGTTGGAAGAGAATATAACATATGTACACAGGGCAAACCCAAACTTTTAGAGTAAAATATTAGCTGAAATAAAGAATGTACAAACAGAACAAGCATCTGTTTAGTCCGGCTGCCTACAGACAGTGTTATTTAACATTTTTCAGTTTTGTCCCTCCATCCGTCCATCCATCCATCCATCCATCCATCCATCTTTTTTCTCACTTTCCTTTTAGGCCACAGTGATGGGAAATGCCAAAGTGGAGAACCACACGGAGTGCCACTGCAGTACCTGTTATTATCACAAATCTTAAATGTTTTGCAAAAGAGCATGTTGATGACTGCTGATTTCCTGGAGTGAAAAGTTAATTTTTCAGTGTTTATGGCCTTGTGAGATAAAACCCCCTTTTTACTTACCATACTCCTTTTGGTGTGCTTCGGGGATGTACTGCAGCTTTATTGCCTTTCTCATTTTCCTACAGTATAATCAGAAGTCTAGTTCTTTTCATTTGGAGTGAAGTACTGCATTTAGCATGAGCATAAAAAGCTGGTTCCTCTGGAAATAAAGCCTTTTAAACCATCATTCTATCATTGGATTCTAATTTTTTCTTAAGGGTTTAAGCCAGGTACTTTTGATAAGATTAACTGAAGGGAGGGAGCCAATGGGTGAGCCAAGGTCCCATGCACTCAGTGACCCCAGAGAACACTGATCTTGCCAAGATCCTTCTGGTGAGATCCAAAAGTACATCCTTTAGCCAGTGGGCTAGTTATAAAACAATCTGTTGGGTTGAGGAAAGAAAACACAAGAACCTCCATTGCTATTCATTTTTATGTCACCCCTTTGATGACTTTTATAGAAGTATATATACATCAGTATGGTGATAAATGTATAAAATGTATAAATAAATAATTCTGCATAGATTGAGGACGTTTGATCAGACACTTTTTACTGGGAGAAATGTGCAAAATTAGGGAAAAAGAATTAAAAAACACTGCTGTAAGTTTTGAGTGAGACAAAATCCTTCCCAGCCTGAAGATACTATCCACATGGCTTATACCTAGCTAAAAAAAGAGTACATTTTATTAGTCCTTGGCAACAATGTTACAACTGAATGGTGGTTAAGGAAAGGGCATTGTTGTCCTCAATAAAAATTGGGCACTGCTTTGATATTCCACGGACATTGGCTCTTACAGTCCACATTCAAGCCTAGAAGGGAATGAATAAATGATGAGAAAGTACTCACTGAGCCCTCACTGTGGGCTAGATGGGGTGCCAAGCTTTTCACTGTAGTAGAATTTTATGTAGTTCTATCCAAATGCTTAAGAGCAATGTCACATTTATTGAGTATTTATACTTAAAAACAGAGATGGCCCTTCCTCTGAGGCTGATGGCTTTATACATTAAATTATATTAGCTCTGGAAGAGATCAAAGCCACTCAAAAATTCTCTCCTACAGGAGCCTGAAATTAAAAAAAAAAAAATCACACTGGTCACAGATAAAGGTTTCAAAATAATTTCAGTTATCATTAATTTGTCAAGATTCCACTTCTAAATGAAAAATTAGTTCTTAACAGGTTTGTAAACACACTGGGTATCAGAATAAAAAACTAAAATGAGTGCATGTACTTTTTAAGAAAAACACATGAAGATATTACTCCATTTGTTCATTCGTTCATTTATTATACATTTATTTAGTGTCTAGTAAGTGCTGGCATGTTGGTACATTATGGGGATTCAGAGATATCAGGATTCCTGGAAAGATAAGATGGAGAAAATATAATGTAGCTTAATTCAAGAGAACAGCTGATCATTAGTTCATACAGATATTTAATAGATATTCACTGAGAATCTACCATGTGTCAGGTCTGGAGATCTCGTCGGGGAATTCCGCAGGAGAGGAAAGAGTGTCTTTGTCCATCTGGGATCATCTAATTGACAGACAGGGAGGAGACATTCTTATGGTCATTCAGATCAATCAGATCAACCCTGGAGAACATTAGGATGAAATGTCTTGGCGATATTCACTTCCCATCTCAGCATGGGCCAGGCATGGTGCTGGGCTTGGGAAGGTCAAGATGAGTAAGACACAGACTTGCTCTGTAGCTATCCACAGTCCACTGGGGAAGAGAGACATAGGCAAAGAATTACAATCTAATGGGATACATGCTATGGGAGAGGTGTGGGACTTTGGTGGCGCAAAAACAGGGATGGTTAACTCAGCCTGGTAGGGTTTGTCATGGACAGCTTCACAGGGCAGATGATACTTGAGTTGGGCCTAAGAGTTAAGCAGAGAGATGGGGGAGGGACTCAGTCTAGTTGGAGGAAAACAGTAAAAGAAAACATCCTGAGATGGGAACAGGTGTGATGCTCACAGAATTGCAAGAAGTTCAGTGTGACTGGATCACAGGGAGATGGATAAGTCCTGCAACCGCAGAGACAAATGGACACTTGTCAAAGTCCTTGTATAACATGCAGAGAAAGTACACTCCAGCTAGGACAGCAGTTTCTCAAACTAGAAGGCCTGAGGGTTCCAGAGGCTGCAGGATAAAACACCCTTTTCTGCAAGATCGATTTTGCTTGAAGCTTTGGGGAAATATTATTTTGATTTTAAAACAAAGACCAATACATTATAGAATAGAATGTAAAGTTGTAAAAATCAGAGTAAAAAAAGAAACTTTGTGCTGAGAGTGGGGCCCTCCAGACCCTGTTCTTCTGACCCCTCCCACACCTGCTGCGAGCTTGCCTTAGGAGTACTTGAATGGAGGAGGTATTATTAAAGAATTAATATGGTTAGCTTTCCACTTTGGAAAAATCATTTTGGGAGCAAGCAAAGTGAGAGACTGGACCCAGGATCACAAGTTTGCAATTGTCTTGGCACGAGACGGTGCTAGTCTGCTGGCAGTGAGGATGAGAGTAAGAGAACCAGATGGAGTTGGGAGGAATTAGGAGGAAATGAGGAGCTCATTGTGGGTGTGGCTCCTGGCTCTTTGGGTGGCTGGTGGATGACTGGGTCAATAACCAGGAAATGGAAAAGGTTTGCATGGCAGCAGAGGGGGGAATGACATTCCGTCTGGGGCCTGTGAGTTAAGGCGTCTAAGGAATATCAGGTGAACTTCTCTGATAGGCAGCCTGTACAGTGACACGGAGCTCAGGAAAGGACTCCAGCCCCGAGGTACAGGCTTGAGGGTCGTCAGGGGTGGGCGAGGCCAAAAGCACAGGGGCGTTTAGGATTGCTCAGGAGTGTGTGAGAGTGTGATGAAGAGATGCTGGACCGCCAACCATGGATTCTCGGCCAGGCTGGCTGAGAAAATGATTATGTCTTGTGCAACAGTCGAGTTGAAAGCCCTGATATGAGCTCTCTAGAGAACAGATTACAATCTCAACCATAAAAGCAGCGAGGCAGAAGAGAGGCAGGCATGGGGGCTGGACATTTTGTTTCAAGCCTATCTGTGAAAAATTCCTAAAAGAAAGAGGTAGAACGAGCACGTGTTTGAGCGATTATTTTATCCAAAAAAATCTTTATCATTTACCTCAGCCAGAAAGCTGCCTGAAATTCTACCATTTTGAGATTCTTTCCTTAGGACTAAGACACAGTCTCCTGGGCATCTTTTTTCTACCCCCCATGACAACACATCTGACGGAGGCAACACCGTTGACCATTAACCTGAGAGATAAGATAAACAGACCACCGGGTCTGTCTGCTCAGGTCATGGGCCCTGGTTACTAGGGAGAGAGGGGTGTCAGGCGGAATGATGAAAGGATAAAACAAAAAAGCTAGACTTCTACTTCTCTGTAGTTGTATCAAGAATCCTGGAGCCATAACTTCTAAGTGATTACGGGGATGCCACTGATGATGAGAGCTCAACGAGGAGGCCAGGGAACAAGGATGGTTCCTATGACTCAGTCTGTCTCCTGAGAGCAGAAGGAAAGGGCAGCAAACAATGAGAGGGAAAGAGACACAGGGAAGGGAAGAGAAAGAAGAATGGAGGGGGTAGAAAAAGTTGGGGCAGGAAAAACGTGTGAGAGGGATGGGGGAGAGACAAGATGGGGTGCTGGAGGAGTTTGCAGCCTCAGAAGTGGCTGACCGGGATTAAAGCAGAGAGGAAAAAGTCATGGCTCTACACGCTGCCACCTCTTCCTCCACCATTGCTGGAATCCAAGTAATCACCCAAAGTGAAGACCTCTAGCCATTCTGGAGCCTTTGTGCAAATGGATGAAAAATGCCCTCTCTGGGCAGGCACAGCACCTTAAGTAAATGGCTTCAGAACTAAATGGCACAGAAAAGTAGATATCAGTCAGTCCTTAACCCCTTTGTGTAGCCCACACACTGTGTAACTTTCCATGCTAGCCACGACCATGACCTCTTTATCTTAATATGACTGTGGGAGATAATGTCCAAAACTGGTGAGAATCTTAGATTCCACATGTCTCCAATTCCAATCTGAGATCCCAAATGTTGATTCCTAATATTCTTATAGTGTTGGGAGGCTTCTGGAGAAAATATTCCCCCAAATAGTTTGGTTTTGCTTTTACCAGCTATGCGGAAACTAGAAGAGCTGCCCATGATCTGGTCCAACAGGAAGGTAAAACCAGAGAATACACATGTAAATGACCATGAAGCTGACATGAAGAAGTTGGTTAGGACCACAAACCTCAAGAGGTCCAGAGAGGTACCCTCACTTGATAAAAAGTTAATCGATGTCAAACCACCTGACATCAGTACAGCACTTTTACTTTCTCAAAGCTTTCTGTGCCTCCTGTAGGTGTGTCTGACTCAGCCCTTTGTGGACTGCAAGTCAGGGCAGGTGGCACTGTCTCCATTTAACAATTGAATAAACGGAGGCACCAAGAACTTTGGTTGTACAGGGACTGAGAATGTATGGAACCCTGGGTCTCCCCATATCCAGTTTTGTGCTGTTTCTTTCAAATTCCAATTTCCTCTCAAGGTATGACGTGTTTAACTGCAAAGAACCTATTTTTTCCTTGGGTCCCGAATCGGCACTCTCTTGGAGATCTGCTCAGGGTGAAATGCCATGTTAGTAAAAGAAATGAAATATGAACTATGAATTGTCCACTGATGTTTTGTCTGAAGCTAGAGCTTCAGTTTTACCATTATGACATTTTGTTTTTGTTTTTGATTCATTCAACACCCCTTCAGACACTTTCTTTTTGAACTTCATTAGGAGAAACACAAAGTGATTTCTCTCTTCTGAAACCCAAGTAGGATTTCCATATTCTCCTATTTGAAACTGGGTAGCATATGGAATTGTAAATATTAAATGTTGTTTTCACAAAGAACTAAAGCCAAGTCTGAGTTTGCTTGAAGCAAAGAGAGAAATTAATTATTGCATCAAACTTCAAAATGGGAGACATAAAAAGGAAATAACAGTTGGATTTTTTAAATGAATTTCCCTCCGGAACCCTAGAGAAACACATACTCTGATAAGTACTTGCCTGTTGAACCTGACTTCCAGAGCTCACTCATCTGAAGGACTTGCAAGCCGAGGTTTTGGAAAGAGAGTGAGGGAAATGGGGGTCAGGGAGGAGTCTCTGAAGAAGC